TTTTTTTTTTGCTTAGGCAATTGGGGTTAAGTGACTTGCCCAGGGTCTCATAGCTAGTAAGTGTCAAGTGTCTGAGGCTGGATTTGAACTCAGATCCTCCTGACTCCAAGGCCAGAGCTCTAATCGCTGTACCACTAGCTGCCCCTTCAGAGCTCTAGAGAGGTAAATTGACTTTCCCAGAGTCATACTAGGAGTAAGAGGCAGGGCTAGTATTTGGACCTAAGTTTTAGGATTCCAGATCTTGTGTTCTTTCCACTCTAGTATTTGAGAAAACATTTGAAGGGCAGGAAAGGACAAAATGTATTAGGGAATGGAGGGGTAGTGAGTAAATCAGTCTGATTGGAATGGAATGTATGTATAATAGAGTTGCAAATGTAAGGTACCACCATATTCTGGAGGGCTGTGAGTACCAGAAGCATTTATTTCCTTCCATAGGAAAATGGAAACAAATATTTTGCAGCAAGGGAGTGAGATGATTAAAGAAATGTTTTAGGAAGTTTAATGTAATAATGACGTGGAAGAAAATACAGGAGTAAGAAAGACTAATTAGAAAACTTTTGAAATAGTCCAGGTGTGAGGTGATATGGGTGATGGTGGTAAGAACAGTAAGGGACAGGTAACAGCATCATGAAGTGAAAAAAGTAATAGAAAATGGTGGATGAAAATCACTCCCTTGGCTCCATATCCAAATTAGAGGTTACCTCATTGGTGGGGGCTGCCAAATCTGTTTCTGTATTGAATTTCTAGTTCTAGTTGTGGGTGTCAGCAGCTTCTTCAAGGATGGACAGGGACAAGATTTTTCAGAACGACATTGTTTGCCAATAGGACTGACACTAAGTTTGACTTGCTATGAAAAACTCACCTCACATAGAAGAATTCTTTTATCTCGGATCTTGTGAGAGATTACTGATTATTGTGCATAGTCTGACACCTGCTGATGAAACTGGGTATTGTTGGGAATCTTTGAAGTACTCCCTAAAAACACCCGTGAAAGTAATTGTGATACTTTGGCCTCTGAGACTTTGAAATCAAAGCCTTTTTATCACTCTGTTTGCTAAGAGATATCTTCCAAATGTGTTTAATTTGATAGCAAAACTCAATAATGGTGTTCTAGTTTGCCTAAAAGTGAAAATTTTGATCTATATGCGTAAGGATTTTTAATAGAAGATCTGACGGCAGCACTGCTTGGGTCCTGCCTGGTTATGCAGCTGCTTACTGAGGGAGTTGAAGAGGTCTTGGGGACATGCAGGGGAAAGAGTTGTGGTTCTGGAAATCAGAGGACCTAGGTTCAAATCCTGGCTTTGAGACTAATTAGCTGTGTGACCTTAATCTCAGCTTTCTGTTAAATAAAAGGGTGGGACAAGATGATCTCTATGGTTTCTTTCCACTGGAAATCTATGATTCTCTGTTATCATTGATAGTACCACCCTCTTGACCTGAAAATCACTCCCTTCTTCTTCCAGCTAGAGAGTATCAGGAGAGCTACCAGGAGAGTGAGGCAGCTTCAAACCATATCACTTGAAGATCGGTCCAAAGAGCTGGTGATACTTAGAGGGGACTCAGAGGAGATGAGACCTCCCTTCTACTTCAAATATCTGAAGGGCCGTTAATGTAGGCTCAGTTTACTTGACCCCAGGGGAACAATAAGGACAAAAGGGCAGAAGTTACAGGGTAGCAGAATTTGGAAAAATATAAGGAAGAATTTCCAAGTTTGAATTATCTAAAAATAGAATTGGATGCTGTAGGAGGTAGTAAGTTCCCTGACCCTGAAGATTTTCAAGGAGAGACTGGATAATCACTTGTAAGGGATGTTGTAAAGAGGATTCATGCCTCAGGTGAGAGATGACTCTGAGGTCTCTTTCAACTCAGGGATTTTATGATTCTTTGAATCCTTGAACCTTTAAACCTATTTCAAGGTAAAGTTGAAATCTCACATACTACTCATACCTTTTTTGTTCATCCAAGGCTTCCCCTGAGCTCTAACGTAGTACTAATCGTTAACTGGTATTTTAAATTATTCTTTGATTAATTACCATTGCTGACTGTGGAGAGGATTAATAAATTTTGCTGTGGTTGTTCTATTGTTTTCACCATCAAACTATTCCTCTGTATCTGGGAGAGCACTGTGCTCCCCCCTCCCTACCAAGTCTTCTCCCTTGCTAGTGCCTCCCAAAGTATTTTTTTGTGGTATATATACAGACATACATACAAATAAATAAATTTATTTATTTATTGGAATCTGGGTCTCCCCATCTTGCCCAGGCAGGAAGTACAGGGCCATGCATTGGCCCAATCCTACTACCGAATTTCACCACATAATCGTAGCACCCTGGTTTTTTTCCCAATCCAAAAAATGGTTTATAACCTTTCATCACATAATCATTGCATGGCATAATTCTGTTCATCACATTGCTTAAAAGGTAAACAGAGCAGCAATGTATTCATCAGTGGCATATAGACACACATTTATCTCTCACTTATTTTGAGCCTGGAATCTTCAGAGCACGTGCTTTGTCAGTATTCAATTTTAACATATGTCTATGAGTATTCTGTGCATCCTAATCTCGTGTCAAAGACAGTTTAGTAATAAATGATTTCTAAGTAATACTGACTCGATTGTTTTTAAAAGCTTCACATAATGGTCACATCCCACTTTTTGCAAAAAAAATTGCCATAAAATCTGCAATGATAATACGATGAAATAGGGTACTAATGGGCATGGAAGTGTTGACCTACTTGGATTCTGAGCTGGGCCTATTTGCTCCCTGTAGGCGACTTGGTGAACCCACCCTTAAAGGGGCTCACCTTATACTGACATCGGTAGTGTTGGCATTCAATCAGCTTTAGCCTGACTCTAGCTCAGAGCTCCTGAGTCTCAGGGATTCTATCAGACTCAGCCTCTCCAGCAGCTGGGATTACAAGTATGTGTGAACATGCTCAATTATATATGCTCTGCATGTATTTTGTATTTATCTTTATTTTTAAAATTTGTTTTTAAACTTAATTTTAAAATTAACTAGTTTTATGCAAATAATCATATTATTATTTGTGTTCACATGGTTTTCCCCCAATGGAATGTGAGCTCCTTGAGGGGAGGGATGGTTTCATCTTTGCTTTTGTATCTCCAGTGCTTAATAATGTCTGGCACACAGTAGGAGTCGAATAAACGTTGAATTGGATTGAATATATGTAGTACCTTCCTAATGAGATTGTAACAGCAGGGTCTTACCTTGCATAACAGCTGTGTGATGCAGTGAATGGAGCACTGGGCCTGGAGTCAGGAAGACCCGCATTCAAAACCAGCCTCAGATACTTTACTGCATGTGTAATCTTGGGCAGAGTCACTTAACCATGGTCTATCTCAGTTTCCTCAAGCGTAAAATGGGAATAATAATAGCACCTGCTTCTCAGGTTTGTTCTGAGGATTAAATGAGATATTTGCAAAGCACTTAGCACAGTGCCTGGTACATAGTAGGCACTTAATAAATGCTTATTTGCTTCCTTTTTATACTTCTGTAGATACACCAAATGACATCACTCAATGCTTTGCACTCAATAGTTGCTCAGTCAGTATTTGTTGATAGTAATAAAGATCCACAATGAGAATTTCAGGGCGATTAATACCACAAGACAATCAATCAATCAATTAACAAGCATTAATTGTGTGCATTGTGTGTAGGCACTGTGATAGACACTGGGAATATAAAAAGGAAAAAAAAAAGAAACAATTCCTATTCTCAAGGAGTTTACATTTGACTGCAGGAAACAATGTATGTTTGTATGCATGTATAGTACACAGTTGCCCCTTCCACATCATTACTTTTCTCATCACAGGTCTGATATATCCTAGGTCAGCATAAAAAATTAAATGAGAATTTTTGGAGGAGTTTTGCAGAAACCACAGATGACACTCAAAGGCCAGCAGAAAAAGTTTAGAAACTCAGAAATGAATAAAAAAAAAATATATATAGCATTATATAATATCAACCCAAATTTTACAATAAGATACTGTAAACATTCCATAAAAGAAAAAGAAAAAATTCAGACTTCTTCTCTGTTACGGAGGGCCAAAACATTTTATTCAGATTTTCCATGTTGGGAGTGCCATGCCTCTAAACCACCCCCCCCCCCATGTGGAAGAGATAACTGTATTTACATATATTAAAATAAAAATAAAATAAATATGAAGTAGTTTGGGAGGAAAGGGACTAGCAATTATAATTTGCAAAGACTTCATGTAGTAAGTGGGATTTGAGCTGTATCTTGAAGGAAGAGAAGGATTTATGAAGCAAAGGTGAGGAAAGAGTACAACCTAGACATGGAGGATGAACCAGGGCAAAGGCACAGAGAATGAAATTGGAGAGCTATACGTGAGAAATAGAGAGAAGACCAGTTTGGCTGGAGCATAGTAAGAAGGGGGAATAATATATGATGGTTCTGAAAAGATTGGTTGGGAACAATTATGAGGGCTTTAAAAGCTTATCAGGAAAACTTACATTTGATCCTACAGGCAATAGGGAGCCCCTGGAGTTTATTGAGTAGAGGAGTGACATGGTCAGATCTGCCCTTAAGAAAAATCGCTTCGGAAGTTGCGCAGAGGATGAACAGGTATGGGGAGAGACTTGAGTCAGGGAGATCAATTAGGAAGTCATTGCAGTCATCTAAGTGAGAGGTGAAGTGGGTAGAGAAGAGGGGTCAGATGAGAGAGATGTAGAGACAGAAATGGGAAGGGACCATATTTGGTAACTGATAGGATGAGGACTATAAGGAAGAGTGAGAAGGTGAAGAGAATTCTGAATCAATGACGGGGGAGAGTGGAAGAATGGTAGTATCCTCAGCAAAAATAGAGAAATTTGGAATGGGGTGGATTTTAGAGGAAAGATAATGAGTTTGGTTTTGAACATGTTGAGTTTGAGGTGTTTTTATTCAATTTTGTGTGAGAATCACTATGGTGCCCAGCCCGGTCCCTTAGCCCCAGCCTCTGCTGTGTGTCCGCGCTCATGAATCCTCCCGATACTCCATCACCCGGGCTGTCTGTATACCACGGCGTCTTTACACTGTCTCCTCCCGTGCAGGCTGCGCCTTTCCGAAATAAAGCAGTTTCTTTTTCTCTACCGGCCACTTCATGGGAGAAACGGAATCCAGTGATTGTAATTGGTGAGCAATCAAAGTGGTCTAATGGGAAGAAGGTAAAAATGCATCATTGGTGACTCAGTCAGTGACTCTACCACTGAGTCACTGGGCAAACTTGGGCAAATCATTAACCATTCTAGATCTTCACTTCTTTATTCGTAATCATAGAATCACAGATGATTAGAGCCGGAAGGATCCTTAGAAAATTTCTAGTCTGAACTCCTCATTTTACAGATAAGGAAATGAAAGCTCAGAAAGGTCAAGGCCATGTATGAGATTAGAATTATTGATTTTTCAGGTTGTAAAGAGCCTAAATAGTCAACTTGAAAGTGGAACTTCCTGGGAGAGGGAGGTTGTGGAATGAGGCCTAGGTGGCTGTGGTTTCACCCTGAAGTGTGTATGATTAACTAGGGAGAGATAGGAAAATGGGTCACATCCCACACTCCTCCACTCCTCCTACCACTGGTCTCCCATGTGGCTACCCCAGGCAGGGGACCCAGAAGCCTCAGCACCGATGCAGACAACACTCGGTGCCCTCTCCCTTTACCCCAAGCATCGTCACACCTTAACCCTTGTGGCTGCTGCCGGTCTTCTGCTCAGTAGTGAGCTGACTCTGCACTCTGGGACAGCTACTGGGGTGAGATTTGTCTTCTTCTTTTGCCATCCTTCACCTCAAAACACAAGACAAAAAAATTGGTGAAGGAAGAGCAAGAGTGGTTGGGTTGTGCTTACATTACATTTTCCCCTCAAACCCATCATTTTTCTGCACTTTCCTATTCCTGTTGAGGGCATCACCATCCTTCAAACATCCAAGTTTACAATGTGGTTCCAATCCATCTCCTGAAGAGCTGCCAACGATATTTTCCTAAGGCACAGATGTGACTATGCTCCTCCCACATTCAATAAACTCCAGTGGTTCTCTATTGACCCTAGGATCTAGCATTATTTCATTTTTCATTCATCTTTTTATAATTTTGGTGTGTCATAATATACATAATTATTGGTATAAAAATGTATATAATTTATAAACAAGTAAACATACACATATTGGTGGTACATGCTTGAAATGACTTTTCTTACTGATACAGGTGCATGATCAAAAAAGTTTGGAGGTTTCTGTCCTCCCAGGGTGCAGAAGTCCTCTCTATGACCTATATTAACTCAAATAATGGAAAGAACATTAATCTTGGAACCAGTTGTTCCAACTTTGTGTTGTGAGCATGGGGAACTCAAGTAACTGCTTTGGTCCTCAGTGTCTTTATATGTAAAATGGAGATAATAATATTCGTCCTACCTTCCTCATAGAGTTGTTAGGACGAAAGTGCCTAATAAACTAAAGTATTGCCTAAGTGTGAGCTGTTACTGTTATCCAATTTCTTTTTGAATGTGTCATTCATTTTGAATGTATCATCATTTTGAATGATGGGGAACTTGCTACTCCAGAGGGCAGGCCATAATACTGTCAAACAATTCAAATTGGTAGAAATTCTTCCCCAAGTTGAGCTGAAAGTTATTTTCTATAACATCCACCCCTTGGTTCTCATGTGCCATAATAACTTCTTGAAGATTGTTGTGAGGATGAGAAGATAAAAATAAGATAACAAACATGAAAGTACTTTTAAAAGTAAGAAAATGCTGTCTTTCGGGGCCATTGGAAAGTGAATTATCTATGATATTTATTTACAGATGTAGCCTTTGTACCTATTAATTCACCCCACGTTTACCAGATTACCAAGAATTCAGCAGCAAACCTCCACTTAATAATACTATGGCATCGATGCACATTGTCACTCAGAGGAAAAATGCCCCAATATGGTGGTTCATAGCTAGGCATGGAATCATGGGATGTTAGAGATGGAAGGGATCCTAGGGACCTTTTAATCCAACCCATGCATGAGGTAATTGAGACCCACAGATATTAAATGGCTTGCGTAGAGCTCCATAACTAGATTACGACTAAAGCCATAGACTCTTAGAGCTAGAAGGCACCTTAAAGGTTATCTAGTACAACCTTTTACCAAATGAAGGAATCTTTCCCCTGATGTCTTTATCAGAATTGGTACTTTGTTGTTGTTTAGTCATTTTTCATTTGTATCCAACACTTTGTGACCCAATTTGGGGTTTTCTTGGCAAAGTTCCTAGAGCGGTTTACCATTTCCTTCTCCAGCTCATTTGACAGATGAGGAAACTGAGGCAAACAGGTTAGGATCACACAGTTAATAGGTGTCTGAGGCCAGATTTGAACTCAGATCCTCCTGACTCCAGGCCAGCACTCTATCCACTCTGCCACCTACCTGGCCAAAATTGGTACTTATCTTGCTTGATTTATCTTAGGGTTAATTTGATTTCTTTCTGTCTCTGGGAGTATGGGTCAAAACTAATGTGCCTGGGTTTGTGCTTCAGATTTACAATAAAAAAAATTCCACATAGCACGGTGAAAAGATCACTGATTCTTGAGTCAGAGGACCTGGGTTCAAATCTTGCCACTACTGCTATTACTTGTATGACCTTGGGTAAATCCTTTAACTTCCCTGGGCTTGTTTCTGCATCTGTAAAACAAAGGCATTGGACCGCACAGAATCTGAAATACCTTGCAGCTTTTGCACTACAATCCTACGAAAGAAATTGACCTAATTAAAAGTAAGTTTTAGATAGTAAGAGGTTAACTCCCTGTGCCCAGGGCCTTCGAGTTGACGATGGGTTGCTGACAGGCAGCCTTGGCTACAGCCTTCATTATGTTTCCTGCCTAAGTGAATCATGTCAGAAGTAGCAGACATATCAACAGCACCAGTGCCAAGCATAGCGGCAGATTTATGGATTCTGTGATAGAAGGATTTGGTCTCCTAATAGTGAGCATGGTATGGGATGTGACAGAATCACATCATTTCCTTGTTGACCTCGGGCATTCCTGCCTCCTGGTGTTTGAGGCCTGGCTTCTTTGGCTTGTTTCTACAGAATAGCTTCGCCCTAGAATCCTCATCTTTGACTAGACCCAAATTGGTGCCTTAAAACACATGCACGCGCACACACACACACACACACACACACACACACGTACTGTTTTCTTGTGCCAGTTTAAGTTATTCATTGGACCTGGAAATCCTTGTCTTTTTTTTCAAACACTCTCTGCTTTCTTTTGAAAAGTATTAGCCAATGACTGACAAGTTAATAGAGGGCAGAAAAAAATGAGGCCATAGGGTTGGAACTAAAATACAGAGTTTTCTGAGCTTGTGTGTGAGACCTCTATGTCATGTAAAAATAAACTGTGCATGTTGGACAATTATTTGTAAAGCTTCCTGGATTTCTTAAAGCTATTTAATGGATGGTTGTCCTTTTAACAGCTATGATGCTGGTGTCTATCAATTCCTATGGCTTTCACTTTTGTTCCCAAGGGGCAGTGACTGGATTGCCTGGACAATGCTGAAGAACTGTTGGCGGCTGATGCAAGACTCCATGAGCAAAGGCTAGGTAAATGATGTGAGAAAGGACAGGAGTAACCCAGGCCTCAGGAGCTTTTGATAGGACCTCCAGAAGCTGTTTTCTTTCCACTTGGGATGGATTTGGTACATAAGAGGCATTCTTGTGGGGTGACCTCTTCTTGCCCCTCCCCCTTCTTTTGTTCATCTTCTCCCTTTCAAAACGCTTCCTCTTCAGATGCCCCAGAAACTTGCCTACTTGGGAGAAGTTAAAAAATGAGAACATGTGGGTTCATATAAATAACCAGTCTTTCTAATGTAGTAGCTTGCCTTCTGAGGTAACTAAGGGAGACCACATAATTTATCACATATATCCAGATAATTAATTATCCATTACTTGGAGGGAGGGAGAAAAGGAGCAGGGCATTGTTTAAAGAGTCCCATTGTCTTGGTCACAAAATGAGCCAAGGCTTGTCCTTTCCTTCAGTATTAAACCTCCAACAGGGAACATCTGAATAGAGGTTATTAAGAGGACAGAAAATCTACAATGTGGAATAGCATTCACCATGAAAGGAGCTGTCACACCACAAATCTATTGCAATCAGCCTTTTTCTAGAGCATAGCTCTTTAGCAAAGAAGCCACAGAAACCATGAGTCACAGAGAGATGTTCTGCACAGTGGGGGTAGAGGTGTTCACAGCCACCATTGGGCAAATGGAGAGATGGCCATCTGTTTTCTTTTTACAGCAAGCGTTGGACATTTTGGGCTTTGTTCCTGATGAAAAATATGGATCCTACAAACTCATGGTGGGGGGGGGGCAAGCAATCATGCACTTTGGAGACTTGAAATTTAAGCAGAGATCCAGAGAAGAGCAGGCAGAGGCAGTTGGCATTGAAAGTAAGAACTTTAGTGAAGCAGAAGTTTAAAAAATGTTTCACTTTCCTCAACCCCCAATCCTACTTTGTTCCCCTCACATTCTCTACTGAGGATAAGGTAGAACCATGGGGATAAAGTAATGTGAGTCAAGCTCCCTCAGCCCCCTCCCACCAAATAGTTCTCTGTCTTCACCAGTGGCATGCATTAAGCTTGGGCCAGCATACCTTGGAGTTAGCCTTACCATTGACCCTTCTCCTTCCTCTTCCCTAATTTATCTCCAGCTATTCTGTTCTGTTCTACTTCATTCATTCATTCATTTATTTGCCTATCCATTCACTTACTTATTTATATTGCTATACATTCATTCATTTATTTTTTAGATTTTATTTATTTTATTTTTAAATTATGGAATAAAACAAGCATTTCCATAACATAACAAAAAAGATGATTGCATATAACATTGCAAATCCATTATACACAACTTGCTATTCCTTTTCAATATGTAATAATATTATCATATACATTTCTTTTCTTTCTCCTCCCACCCTCATTATCTCATACAAATCTATCCAGACACACTGGACGATACCTAGGTTCTTTTCCTTCTCCTGTTCCCTTTGCCTAGGATGCCTCAACATCTTTCCTCCCTACATCACCCAGACCCTTGATCTATCAAAATCTTGCCTATCCTTCCAGGCACAGTGTTGAGCACCTCTTTCTCCAATGAAATGATCCTCCCAGTCAGAAATGATTTTCCTTTCTGTAAATTCTTTTAGTACTTGCTTTGTCTTGTAGTGCTTATCACAGATCACCTTGTACTATAATTATTTCTGAATGTGCCTCATCTCCCCTACTAGATTATAAATTCCTTGAGGGCAAGGATCATACCTTATTCATTTTTGTTTTTCTCATAGTGTCTAGCAAAATCTTATTTGAAAGCATGAATGCATGAATGAGTGAATGGCATTATGATACCCAACAAAGAAAATTCAAATGCAGCAACACTGGGCTCTTTTACTAGAAGGGTCCTTCAGCTCAGCTTACAGTACTGGAATTTGTTCCTTCATTCTGAATCACTTCATCTTACAGAAGTGACACAGTGGTTAGCTAAGACACTAACAGGAATTAGTTTATATGATTACTCATTACTATAAATACCTTGTCTGATTATGAACAGACGCTGCCAGGTCTTAGAAGAACAAAAATAACTTCTGGGGTCTCTCTCAGCCAGAGACCTCTTTGGGTGAATCTGCTCAATGTTCTTGAGCTGTCCTCAGCTGCCCTGGGTCTGCCACCTTCAAACTCTATTCTTCTCCAATAAAAACCTGTCTATCTTTTTGTGGTCCCTTCATCAGGTCCTTGCTCTCTGTTGAGGCTCACTGGGGAGTGTTAGTTAATTATAGAAACTAATCTTTGCTAATGCATTGGCTTACCAATATATCACTCTTCCCGTTTCAATTAATGCTTTTTAACTCAATGAGAAGCAAAGTCTCTTTGGAGACTTGTGAGAATTAATGTTAAATGTTGGAGATTTTTTTTTAATCTTTCATTTTATTTTATTTTTAATTAATGAGTATTTATTTTCTTTCTCTCCCACTCCTCCCTACCCAATTTAAGAGAAAAAAACCCAAAGTCCTTGGAATAAATTTCATAGCTAAGCCAAACAAATTTCCACCTTGTCCATGACCAAAAATACATGTCTCATTTCTCGTCTTGAATCACTTCTCTTTAGGGAAGTGCGTAGCATAACATCATCAATTTTTTGGAACCATGATTGCTTGTTGCATTGGTCATAGTTTTCAAATCTATCAAAGCTGTTTATCTTTAAAATGTTATTGTTATCATATGAATTTCTCTCCTGGTTCTTCTCATTTCATCCTGTATTTGTTCAGGGCATCAAATCATGCACATCTTCTCTGGTTTCTCTGAAACTATCTTTTTTTTCCATTTCTTAGGGCACCAGAATATTCCATTACATCCTCATACCATAATTTATCCAGCCATTCCCAAATTGATAGAATCTCCTCCCTCAGTTTCCAATTCTTTGTCACCACAAACAAAGCTTTTATAGATAGCCTTGTATATAAGGGTCCTTTTTCTCTTTCTTGGGGCGTAGGTTTAGTAAAAGGGTCAAGTAGTTTTTTGAGGAAGATATTTTGGTTATGGGTTGGGGAGTGGGTCTCCTTATCCTGGCCCTTAAACATATCACAGAGAGGTGGAGCCAAGATGGTGGAGTGCAAAAGCACTCAGCTGAGCTCTCCCAAATTCCCCTCCAAACAACTCTAAACTAATATTTCAAATTGAATTCTGGAAAGACAGAACCAACAAATGGTCAGGTAAAACAGTTTTCTACCCCAACACAAGTTAGGAGGTTGGCAGGAAAGGCCTGTCTCACCTGATGGTGCTGGGCTCTGGTAGCACAGACAATGTAGGCCAAGCCTTGGGGAGGAGGTGAGACCTGTATTGATGGTGGCAGCTTCAGGAGCTCTCAACTCACAGATGGTGGGGAAGTCGGACAGCTGGCAGAAAGGAGAGTGTAGGGCACCTTTTGCTAGCACTGGATTCAGGACCTTGTTGCATTTGTCCATTTGTACAGTCCCAGAGTCAAAAGGAGTGATGGCTCTTGTGGCCACAAAGAAATAGGGTACTAGGTAGAGGTTCCAGGGCAAGAAGGAGTACTTGTGGTTGCTCATAGTGCCAAGCCTTGGGGGTGACTGCATTGGTGGCAGCAGCTTTGGGAGCACTCAGGCCATGGAGTAACAATTTCAGCTACAGGAAAGTGGAGGTCCTGGTCATAGCTCTGGGGGCAGGAGGAGTGCTAGTGCTGGTTGCTACAGAAAAACAAGGTCTCTTCCTGGATAAAGAACAGAGTATAGGCCAGGAGAGCAGTGACCACATCTATCCTTAGAGTATACCACTTTGAAAGCACTGAAAACCTACAGATCCCCAGAGCTAGCTGTAAAAATAGCAGCAGGAAAGGGACAGTTATATGCAAAGCTTCAAAGAAAAATGTAAATTGGCCATAGGTCCAAAAATAATTCTTAGAAGAGCTCAAAAAGGATTTTAAATATAAAACACAAGATGTAATGGAAAAATTGAAAAAAGAAATGAGGGTGATGCAATAAAATAGTGAAAAAAAAAGTCAACAGCTTGGTAAAGGAAGCACAAAAAGAATACTGAAAAAAATGACATCTTAAAAAACAGAATAGGACAAATGGTACAAATGGGCCACAGATAGGTTCAATAGGCCAAGAGGCACAACAATCTACTGAAGAGAACTCCTTAGAAACAAAATTGTCCAAATTGTAAATGAGGCAAAAAATCCACTGACAAGAACTTTTTAAAAAGCAGAATTGGCCAAATGGAAAGAGATTCAAAAGCTCATTGAAGAAAAGAACTCCTTAAAATTAGAATTGGGCAAATGGAAGCTAATGATTTTATTAGGCACTAAGAAACAATAAAACAAAATCAAAACAAGAAAAAAAGTAAAATATCTTATTGGATAAACAACTGACTTGGAAAATAGATCCAGGAGAGAGGATTTAAGAATTTTTGGACTACCTGCAGGCCATGATTGAAAAAAGAGCCTAGACATCATCTTTCAAGAAATTTTCAAGGAAAGCTGTCCCAATATTTAGAATCAGAGAGTAAAACAGAAATTGAAAGGACCCACTGATCATCTCCTGAAAGAGATCCCAAAATGAAAACTCCCAAGAATATTATAGTCAAATTCCAGAGTTCATAAATCAAAAAGAAAATATTACAAGCAGCCAGAAAGAAACAATTCAAATATTGTAAAGCCACAGTCAGTATCACACAAGATTTAGTAGCTTCTCCATGAAAGGATCAGAAGGTTTGGAATATGATATTTCAAAAGGCAAAGGAGCTAGGATTGCAACTAAGAATAATATATCTAGCAAAACTTAGTATAATCCTTTGGGGGGGGGAAATGGATATTTAATGAAATAGAGAACTTTCAAACATTCTTGATGAAAAGACCAGAACTGAATAACAGAAAATTTGACTTTCAAATACAAGACTCAAGAGAACCACAAAAAGGTAAACATAAAAAAGAAATATTAAGCAAATCAATAAGGTTAAAAGGTTTATATTCCCATATAGGAAGATGATCATTGTTACTCCTAAGAACTTTCTCATTATTAGGGCAATTTGAAGTAGTATACATAGACAGAAGGCATAGGTGTGAGTTGACTACGATGGGATGATTTTTTTTAAAAAATTGAGGGCTGAGAAAGAGGATGCACTGGGAGAAGGGAGAAAGGAGAAGAAGAATGGGGGAAACTATTTCACATAAAAAAGGTGCTAAAGGAAGAGCTTTTACAATGGAGAGGAATATAAGCAGAGTGGAAAATGCTTGAACCTTACTCTCATCAGAACTGGTTCAAAGAGGGAATAACATACACACTCATTGGGTATAGAAATTTACCTTACCTTACTGGGAAGTAGGAGGAGAAAATGATAAGAGAAAGGGAGGGGACTTATAGAAGAGAGGGTGGGAGACAGTGGTCAGAAACAAAACAGAATTTGAGAAAAGACAGGGTAAAAAACAAAGGGAGAAGAAAGGATAAACAGGGAAAAAATAGCATGGAGGAAAATACACAATTAATAATCATAACTTGTGCCGGCCGCGCCGTGCACTCTCCTCCTATAAGGAGCAGGCTGCCAAGGTCATACTACTTACCAGTCTTCGGTGCCCACCCAGATAAACACACAGAGATGAGCCGATCAGGAGGTGCCAACACTAGAGCTTTATTCAGAGGCCATCACAGCAAGGCCAAGCAGGAAGGCCAGAGCAAGAGAGCAGGAGCAAAAGAGAGAGCGAGCTCCGATCTCTACTGTTCCTTAAGTACCTACTTAGCCCCTCCTCCTCAGCCCGCCTACTAGTCATTGATTGTAGGGGATGTCTGGGTTTAGCACACCAAAGGAGAGGAAGTGACACAGGAGGCTAGGACCGGATACAGGAAGGAGGCGTCTGGGGTTAGTGCATAGACAAAGGGAAA